CATATGTTCAAAGGTTGTCGACGCGAGGACTCAGCTCCTCACATCTACTCCGTGGCTCAGTCGGCCTACCGCAACCTGCTCACCACGCGGCAGGATCAGTCCATCGTGCTGCTGGGCAAGTCTGGCAGCGGCAAGACCACCAACTGCCAGCACTTGGTCCAGTACTTGGTCTCCATCGCTGGGAGCACGGGCAAAATCTTCTCAGGTGAGCCTGCAGAGTCGTTGAAAATATATGAATAGATACAATAGACTGATAGTAGTCTGTGGAAGATATGACATTTAGTTGTAAAGGACTTTCAAAACACAGTGGAAACATTATTTTTAAGCGTCAACACCCCCGACGAAATGACTCGTTTCACTATCAGAATTTGATCCAATCAGTCGGATAACATTTAAAAAGTCTAGAAGATTTGCACGAGTAAATAATTGAATCTTCCTTCAAGTTAGCAGAAGGCTAAACTAAAAATTAGAGGCTCAGCCAGTGGGAGATCCTGGTAATTTGTCAAACTTTTTTGGCTTTATTGGCCACTGAGCAGCTTCCATTTCAATACATTCAAACAAATAAATAAATAAAAAACAAATAGCTGCTGACTTCACATTGCTAACTCTATTTGCTACTCTGCAACTTAAATTTTCCAATGAGTTTGACACTGCATGCCAGAAGAGGGTGGCATATGCATGTGCTGTATATATATTTATATTTTCTGTTTCATTTATTATTCTAGTTTATGAGCAGGAACAGCTAAATATAGTGTATTTAAACAAATATTTTATTTACCAGATTTATTTGCAGAATAGCAGCAGTTCTGCTTAGGTGACAGGCATGTGATGTGCATTGTTTTTGAAAATATGATATACAGTCTTTAGGAGTATATGATTCAACTTTTTCCCATGGCCTAGTGTTAAAAAAGCAAACAGCAATTGCAAACAATCCTAAAATGGAATTACAATACATATTTGATCGGCACCCCAAGTATCATAATCATACCGAATCATGAGATCAGCATATTGTTCTAGCAACTAGCAAACTGCAAATGTATTATTGTTAAATTGTCTATAATATGGCCCCCAATTTTCTAAATTTCACTTTGACTCAAATAAACATATGTGTGACAATACGGAAAATAAACCAACAGTTTATCTAAACCACTTTATTTGGAGGCAAAACTGAAACAGAACACAGCAGAGATGTCACCATTGATCTCCCACTGCGCAGGAAAACTGTGTGCGCCCAACTATGGCAAAGTTGAAGCAGGAAGTGGGTCTATCAACTGTGGTAGATGTTTACAGCAGACAATTTGGGTGATAACTTTAATGTTTGCCTTTGTTTTCTCTTCCAAAATGAAGAACTTATGGCTCAATTTGCAATAAACTGGAGTTATCTGTTAATGACAGTCTTTGTTCCCCATGCCAAATCAGAAGTGATCCAGTTGGTCATGAAATTCAGGTGGAGACACTAAGAAACCCTCCTGACAGCAGTGACAGTGAGGGCTCAGTAAAACCCGTACTGTGCACAGTTACTGACTGAGTTTGATTTAAATTCTTTTAAATAAGATGTCACAGTTAAACTCAGCACATTGTCATCTGGTAGTGGACCTGTGTAGGAGCAAGCTGTCTTAGAAACAGTTGTTGGATTGTTTGAAGTACAGCAGTACATTTCCATATGCACCCACAGTAAGAGCGGCTGTTGTTGTTGGCTTTGTTCTTCTCAGTTTATGATCAGTACTGTGTTTAATTACCTGCTGCAGACTCATTAGCATCACAGTTGTCTCTGATGTAATTTATAAGAGAAGGTTCTGTCTATGCGCTGGAACTTTATGATGCTTTGTCATATTGTATTGATTGTGAAAAACACTATTTTTAATTAATAGTTTATATGCCAAGATTCGTGACAGTAGTCTTTTCTTAACTACTTGAGAAATTAAAAACAACCCTGTCTATTTACATTTTTTATTTTCTTAATTTGTTTGCCTCAAGAACCCTGCAAGCATTTTTAATTTATTTAAGTAACTTTTTACTGCTTTTCACTTTTAGAAAACGTTGTGCTGTGATGTTGAATGTTACAGGAACTGTAATAAACACAAATGCAGATCCCACTGTTCTGCTTGCATTAAATAAGTCAACTTTTTAAACTCTTTTATGCATATGCTGTGTTCTTTATACTATGACAGTTGTGTTTTGAATTGCAATATAGCACCATGCTTACAGTATTGCAGTATATTATATCGTGACCTCTGTATCATGATACGTATCTTATAGCCAGATTCTTGCCACATACAGCCCTACTCAAGGATGTAATATGTTGCATTAACTGCTCAAGTATTAACTGAATTATGGATTAGACAATTAATTTTGTTTGGGTGATGCAGCTGAGAAATGGCAGGCCGTCTACACCATCCTGGAGGCTTTTGGCAACAGCTCCACGTCTATGAACACCAACGCCAGCCGCTTCTCCCACGTAGTGTCCCTCGACTTTGACCAGGCCGGGCAGGTGGCCTCCGCCTCCATCCAGGTAGCGCACACACAATGTATACACAGTCACAGTGGAAATAGATGAGCACACAGCTGCCCTCAGAATGCCTTCATTTCATACATACAATACTAATACCTGTGCTATTAGTTTAAACATACTACTTAAACAGCCTTAACCAGGCTGAGCATCTCTATAGAGGCCGGATGTCTCTATATGACCTACATAAACAAACAAGACCATCAAAGAGAAGACTGTAGATTCCCCTTGAAATCAATGAAACAAAGCGGGGAAAACACTACCACTCTTGTCCACAGGGGCCGTCAGAATCAACAGAAAAAGGAAAATACCTTGTAGGAGCTTTACATTTCAACAGTTCGAAACTAACATCAAAACTAACAGAAAGCAAATAGTTTCAGAGATAAAAGTTTGCAGAATAAAACTGAGACTTCACTCATACCTCCATGTACCGTGCTGTGTTTATCCACAGCAGCCTCCGTCTGACTCCTGTTGTCTCTTTCTGTAGACGATGCTGCTGGAGAAACTGAGGGTGAGCCGACGACCTGAGGCAGAGTCCACTTTTAACGTCTTTTACTACATGATGGCCGGAGCCGACAACAGCCTGAGGTGATTTCCTCTTGCAGCATTTGAATGAAGTATTCAAATAAATTTTAAACTTTTTAAACTTTTGTTTCTTGATTTTGGTTTTTAAATTCCAGGAAAACTTGTTTTGATGATTATAGTTCTGATTTGAGCATCACAGTTCATGTGTTCTAGTCGTTCCAGGCCAGTTGGTGTCGTGGGGGTCAGTAGTAGGTCAATAGTTTACTGTAAAGAGCAGGAAAATTAGATTTTGGCTTTTCAATCATAGTCATTTTGCATCACAAATGACAGGTAGTCTGGGATAAACTAAAAAAAGACAGTGAATTTCAGTGAAACGTGTCAGCGTTCTGGTTCCAGCATCTTGCCTCTCTCGTCCTCTCTCTTAGAACGGAGCTGCACTTTAACCACTTGGCTGAGAATAGTGCTTTTGGGATCCTACCACAGTCGAAGGTAACCACACCAGATTATTTACCTGACATGTGTCTGTTAGCAGGGTTTCATTTCACATGGTCTCTCTGTATTATAACCCAACCAAGACAGGATTTTTAAGGCTGATACCGATATTGGAGAGTTTTAAAAATCATAATCATTATTAATTTCTTTATACAACTCACAACAAACATTTTTGATAAGAAGAAATTAGTCAGTTAAGTTTGATCTGATATCATCTCCTTCAGCCTGAGGACAAGCAGCGAGCCTCGCAGCAGTTCACCAAGCTGCAGGCAGCCATGAAGGTGCTGGGCATCTCTGGTGAAGAGCAGAAGGCCCTCTGGCTCATCCTGGGGGCCGTTTACCACTTGGGGGCCGCAGGAGCCACTAAAGGTAGGACTGACCGAAGAAAACAAAAGCTTCTTATACCAAAATATTTCTTCTTGATCAGCAAGTTTAGGACCTTAAAGCCGGGCTGGACCCACTCCTCCTCCATAAAAGAGGCGGTTTTGTTGTGTGTGTTCTCATCTTATGTCAAATAAGCCCACGACACAATCTCCAAAACCATGCATTCCTTTTGCCAAACCAATAACTTAAGACTAATCTTGGTTTATCATTTGAGTGTGAATAAATATGAACTAAAGAAATACATGTCTTTAACAAAATAGATACATATCCTCTCCTTTGTCTGTCTCTAAAACATATCCCAGAAGCTGAGCTCAGCTCTCATTTTCATCTCCTGTATTGGACCATGTTCAGTTTAAGTTGAGGACTGTGATGCCAGTCACTGTGTCACATCCCCTTTCATTAAATGACCCAGTGTGGCATTTTCCACAGATGGGAAATGGAAGGAAAAACCCGACAGCACTGTAAAATCCATTAACTCCCATGCTGCAAGACTTTTAATTAAATAAACAGTTGAAAGATATTGGTCATTAGTGCTCACTTCACCATCCATTAAGCTTGTCGGGGAAAAATGTGGACCTCTTGCTTTGTGCAGAGGAGGTTTAGATCAACTGAGGATTTTAGAGATGTTTGAATTGGTAAGAGCTGCATGTTCAGTCTGTGATAGACCTTTCTAAAAATAAATGCTTTAGAAAATGGAGCCAGATAAGCAAATACTGTTCATGCAGATACAGACACATCAATGCAGTAGTGACCCTTCAGGTCAGTGACAATTGGTCAGTTCTCAGTAAATTACATGCAGGGGGAGACACAGTAATATATGATGTAAAATATAATGTCATCCAATTCAATAGCCATGTGATGAATATTACTTTGGTGAGGACCACAGTGTTAGATTTTGCCAGAAAGGCTTTTGTTTAAGGTTATATATTCCCTTCTCACTGGATGTTGCAGCAGAGCAACAGCATCTCAGACCAAAACAATGGGACAGAAATTAAATAATATACTTCACAAATACATTAGTCTCCCTGAACTATTTCGATTAGTGGTGTGATTTGGGTCTGGATTCAGCCCGCCATGATTAGCGCTTAGCAGTTTATATTTCAATTCAATTCGTTAATTTTATTTTTGTTAGCGCCAAATTCATATAACAGAAGTTAGTCTCGAGGACCACTTTTCATAATAGAGCAGGTTCTAAGACCTGATACTCTCTTATTAACAAGGGTATATCATAGTAGCCCAACATGTCCAAGCGTATAAAACTGCTTCTTGTTTAAATGAGAAACTCTAGGACAGTACCCGGCTCTAGTATGGTGGTCGTATGCCCTTCGTAATAGAGAATATTCATTCAGAAACGGGGTGCTTAATTTTAGCCTGATACACATACATAGCTTCTCTTTGGGTACAATATGCGACTGTTCGATTGATGTGCATCCAGCTCATAAGTTGTTGTTGTTTGTTTACTGGACCAGTACTGTGTTGTCATCCTCTGGTGTCTGATCTCTTAGGATGTGATGGATAAGGATTGGCCTATCAGAGATTGAGAGCTCTTTGTATTGACCATTGTATTAACAGCCGAATATCACTGATCAGACTCTCCACCAGACAGTTGAGTCTATAGGATCTATAAATTGCGTCATATATTACACTCGCTATTTCTACTGGTTAGTCTCAGCTTCTATAGGCACTGCACGGGCCATCAGCGTATGGGGAAACTAGATACTGATCTTATTATTTGACTGATGTTAGCGGGTAGGGATAAGCTTCCCACTATTGACAAATAAATTAATAGTGAGTTCATGATACGCTTACTCATAACTGGTGAGCTCATTTTGTATCTGAACTTTTACAATCAAATCCGATTTCGAGCAGATGTAATTGCATAAAATATTAATCTGACTATTTGATTTCCTGAGCTTCAGTTTGCCTTATTTTCTTACCCATTGGAGGATGTTCTTGTACTTTTTTATTGTGTTGAAGAGGATCTATGACACTCATACAGATGCTCATATTGAGAATTTAAAATAAACCTGGTCTAAAAGCTGTGGCTAACTAGTTATATATGACAGATAGGAATCATCAACCCTTTCATGATTTAATGTGTTCATTATTCTTTATTAAGACATTGGGATATTGGATAAATTCTACTAGCAAGAAGTGAATATGAACTGAGTCATAGCTTTTTTCACATCATTACGATGTGATTAAGGTATCTTGCTCAGACAGTACACCTAACCGTGGATCGCCCTATGCAAGTTGTGTAAGAACCTGTGTCACTGTAATAATATTATGATGTATTGAGGCCAGGAGTTTGACCGGGGTATAGCAGGAGTTATTGTTTGATCCGGGATAGCAGGAGTGGGATGCACGGGTATAGCCAAGTGAAGATTGGGGATGACCCGCGTAGATTAAAGAGGATATAGCAGGAGTTGACCGGTATAGACCAGGGTGGCCCAAGACAAAGTTGACACAACACTTGACAGAACACTCAAAAAACACTGCACATTTTCCACATTTACGAACAAAGAGCAAAGTGAGAAAGCGTGAAACAGACATAAACCTCTGACGTCACTCTGCTGTAGCTTTACATGGCTAATAGTTGTTGCTGCTATACTAAAATAACAGTTGGTGTTATTATCCTGCAGTCCTATCCAACACCACCACTAACTACAGTGTCATCAACAGAGACCATAGAGTTGAATTAACATGACTCTGAAACTGTGTCAACAACAACTTTGCAAATCGTTTCATACTTAGTGGGCAGTGGAACGAAGAGAAAAAAACAGCACTTAACTCTTGTTTACGTTGTAAATACAACTTAGCCAATCTCCAATCACCTATGATAAGTTGTTGGGCAGAAGTGAGTTCTTACTCATCCTTTCTTATTCTCAAATCCCTGTCTCTGAACCCTTGGATTATTCATTTTACCCAGCAAATTGCTTCTCTGTCCTGCCAACCATGTATTCATTTCCATCACCTCATTACTTCAACATTAATGACAATGTGGCCCTGCTCAAATTAGCATAAACTGTGCAGACTTAAAGGCAAATCCTTTTCACTTAAGTAAAACATTTGACTGGAGTTGGCTTTTTACCCAGTGCCACTAGGTGTCAGACTTGACATTTGAAAGCACACTCTCTCAGTAGGCAGCATGTTGAATGTAACAGCAACTAGGACTCCAGGTTTTTAATCTCACACGTTTTTCAATTTGTAGTGTGAAGAATGCAGATTTTTTTTTTTAGATTTGAGAAGTCTTTCCACCAGATGTTGGAACCTGGCTGCAGGCTTTTGCTCCCATTCAGCCACATTACTGAGGTCCAACACTGATTGGGTTGGGTGATAAGGCCTGGTTCACAGCCAGCATTCCAGTTCATCCCAAAGGTGTTAGATGGTCAAATTATTCCAAACCAAGCAGGGGAAACCATTTCTTTATGGAGCTGGTCTCATTCAGGAGGGCATTAGCTGTGTTTCCAATTTATTTTTATGCACATTTTGAAGTATTGCATTAAAAAGTTTGATGGAATCTGCAAAATTAGATAAAACTTGAGGTGGTTTTTGCTGTTTTCTAAAAAGTGTTAATGCTTAATGGAGAAATAGTTTTTCTGAATAGGTTCTGATGTAGCCAACATTTTACTTACTGACAGTTTCCTCATCATACGTTCATGATCTCTGCACAAAGATCCGATGGAACCTTCCTCACATTAATACATGAAACTAACACAAATATCATATCAAACATTTGGATGGAAACATGGCTACGTTCATGTTTAAATAAAGTTTATTCTTGACATCGGAACAGCAGTTGACAAATCATTCTCATCCCAAATCATTGCTCAGTTACCATGGAGGTGTAAATATGCAAACATGCTGATACCAAGCTTCTAATGACCAACAGTGATCAGATAACAGATAATTTAAAATGTTTGTATTTTAAAAATTACAGACCCTGTAGTTTGTACACACCAGAGGGTAAGAAAGGGTAAGAAAGGCTAAGATGTAGTGAGCAAAGGTGGATGATTAGATATTCCATTGCTCTGATCTGGCCAAATTCAACTAACATCACTATTGTTATAATTATTATTTTTTTGTTCATTTTTTTAAATTAAACAAAACCTTGAAATACTTTAATAGAACATAAATGCTATCAATCGTTGCATGAGAATTCAAAATATTATTATTACTGACCAATAATTAACAGCCCGCCGATATAAAGTGTGCATATTCCAAGCACCTATAGCGCACCTCATTCATAATGATAATCTTAACTTAAGGTCAGTTTACTCATTACTAATGAAAAATGTGTGAAAATGGTGGAAAGCACCGTAAATAGTGAGTAAGTGGACACTGAGTAGAGGTTCTTTTGTCAAATTGTTGATTTTACCGTAGCAAAAAACAAGATGTGCAAAGTCTGAGACAGGAGATGAACAGTATCCCAGGGTTTCCCACAGGAAGTTGTTTAGCTGAGGTGGTAAACCACCCAAATCCTGATGCTTCTTATCACACAGTGTAATTATTAAATGATGGCCTAAACTATAACTGCATGAAATACAACGGCTGTTGCTGTGTGAAGTAGTGCCTCTGGTCCTTTGCCCTAAAGCTAATGTTATATTTTATGATGTTGGCTGAGGAGGTGGTTTAATTTGAGGCGGCTCACCTCTGCTATGAAACACTGCAGGAAACCCTGGTATCTGATGAGAGCACAACATGGACAAACACACACACACAATCACTTCTTGCATGGTTCTGTTGAATAATATTTGCTCCGGTGTCTAACTTCTCAGCTTGCTCTTCCAAAGCATCGTGGTGGGTTGTCAGTGTTGTATAATGCTAATGTTTATGTTTTCCTGTGACTGTGCATTGATACCATGAACTGTGTTATCTCTAACCCCCTCTCTTTACTTGCATGTTTGCATGCTGCGCCCTATCAAATGCAGACGGAGATGAAGGTAATGGAAAAACAACACACAAGTTGTTCACTGTTTTTCACTTAAATTTTTTTATTTCAGAGCCTCTCTTGTTTGTATTTTCTGTCTTAATGCCTTTATCATCCCTTCCAGGCCTTAAGTCATTAGCATTTTTATTGTTTCTGCTCCTCCTCCCCCTCCTCTCTTCATCTCCTTCTCTCTCGTGTTTTTGTGTTTCCCTCATGACGATCCTCCCCGGTGTCTGTCTCACCTTTTTCTGTTCCGTGAGATAAAAATCACAGGGATCAGAACTTTGGTGTCCCTTTAAACTGCTCTCTGTGATGCCACCCCATGTCGGCCACATTCAGCTCCCAAGCTGCTGTCACACTACAACACATTCTCAAAAGCAAAGTAAAGCTTGTTCATTCTCTAGTCAGTGTTTTCACTTTCTTACCACACAACTCGTATTTCCAAGCTTACCCTGTGTATCCCCATGAAGTTTGTGCTTGGCAGAGGCTCCTGTTGATTCTTTGGCTCTGTGTCTAAGCTTTTTGATTGGCTGGCTGTGCAGGCTGTCATGTTGCCTTGGTTCGTTCTAACACATTGGCTTTGAATTGCCTCCAGACCAAATGGAGATGCACTCCTCATACAGACATTCATGCAAACACAGACTGAGTCAGGACATGATCAACAGTGATTAGCAATCTAAATCTGAGTCGTTCAGTTTGTTTTCAGTCTGCTCTCCACCACATATCTCAGAAAAAAACAGTTTTAGCTTTTTATTATATATAGCTTTTATTTTATTTTTTCAAATGCCTGCAGTGGCAACAAGTGACTACAGGGTGATGTTGACATTTCTTAGGGTTTCTGTTTTCTCTCTTTCGTATTACACTTATGCAAGTTTTCTAAGGATTATTTTTTTTAACTATCTAGACTTTTAATACCTAGTATCGGTTAACCTCCAAAAACTGGATCCTATGCTTCCCATAATGTAGCTAAATCACAATTTTTGCACTGTTTTGTAAATGCCCACAGCTTTAAAACTCCAAACCCCCAGTTTGTAACCCAGTCTTTCTGCTATATGTGTAGACTCAGCCCAAATAGTCAACTGACGTTATTTGAGTAATTTTCTGTCTGAGCAGGAGGAAACGCAGATGAACGTAATCCACTAAAAACACTGAGGGTGCTTCTGGCTGGAGTTAAGACCTTCTGTAGTCTCTACTAGACTAAAACCACTGTTTCAACATCAATAACCAACTCTGGTTTGGTCTAAATAAACCCTTAATTCACAGAGTTGGATGAGAAATGGGCTGCCATGTAACGTTAGCTGGTGCTTGTTTTTGCCACTGACAGGCTAAGAGTCTGACCACATTATGGGAAAGATTCCTACAGATATGGACCCTTTTTAAAAAAAAAAAAAAAAATTATTTTACCAAAAAAAAACTAATTTCACCTCGCAGATAATACACTTAATAAACACACTTTCACATTCAGACTCACCAGAAACAGAATAAAACTTCCCGAAGCCATCATTGTCAGAGTCTCTCCACTGTTCTAACAACAATCAGAGAATGAGTCTGACCTCATTTTTGAAACTGTATTTCTCCTGATCAGACGATGATGGGATTAATTCAATTCAATGTTATTTGTNNCAGAAGTTATCTCAGGACACTGTTAAGTGTCCTGAGATAAGTAACTACTAAGTACTACTAAGTACTACTAATAAGTAACTACTCTAGTAACTAACGTTGTAGTGTAGGCTATGTGTTTGGAATGTTCTATACAAAATGACATCATTTATCAGTCCACAGTTGAGGATGTAAGTGTAGGTGCCTGCTTTGCGGGGGCTGGGCATCCTGATGGGCTGTTAGTGAAACAATAGTACACACTCTCACAGTCTGATGAGTTTGGTACTACTGCCTACACTGCCACATAAGTTAAATTTAAAATAAATGTGCCAAAACAATGGTTTCAGGTTGTTTTTTGTAAAGATATAAACTCCCGGAATGCCAACTACATCGAATCGCTATTTTAATGACCATGTCTTTGCCTGAAAAAATTAACAATGAAGGTTAATGACAACATTCAATATGAACATTTACCTGAGAGGGTACCCTGAAGGATGGTTTAGTCTGAGAATGGTGTGGAAAAGTTTCTGATGTAATGAGTAGCTATTGGTAATGCTAGTGGAGCTAGGTAAGCAGGACTGAAAGCTGGACTACTGAGTGGGCCATGGCATTCAGATGAAACTACTTGTGAAACCAGTTCAACTAGCCATTGCAGCAGATACAGTGTAGCTCATAGGCTGGGTTACCTATCTGCTCTTTGCTTGGGTGAGAGTAGGATGTCAAGACATCAGTTATATATAGATCCTACTAACCTGACTGCACATGCTGAAAACTACTTGGAAAAAGCCCTTTTAAAAAATATTCGGCAGGTGATTAGATGAACCATGTGTCTGTCAATGTCTATCATTTCAATTCAATTCAATTTTATTTGTATAGTGCCAATTCATAACAGATATTATCTCAGGACACTTTTCAAATAGAGCAGGTCTAGACCAGACTCCATATAACATTATTTAACATTATCATGGGCACATTTCAACCAATCAGATCAACAAGCCATATAACATAGTTATAGGTTAGGATCTTACAGCCCACAATAATAATAATGCAACACAACAGAATCTTTTGTTAGACCTTGGTAAACCAGACATCTTTCAAAATCTAGTGTGTAAAAAGTCACAAACTGGAATTGGGGCAAGATGAATGGGGATTGGGCAATGCTGTTAGTGGTTGTGTTGACATTTTCTGTCAGTGGTGTATTCACATCAGTGTGGCTATAGTTAAAAAAGGCATAGTCATATAAAATGATGCAGTGTGATCATCATATTCATGATCATTTCTGTCTGTCCTCTCTACATGGATGCTGTCTGATGGCATCATGATGTACAGCACAAGAAAATCAGGCCTGTTTGTACAGTTGGAAAAATAACTAAATGTTTTGTTGATGGAAACACTCAACCACAAGTATGAATCTCAACACCTTAGCTGTCAGTTTTCACACAACTCCCACAGTCATTCCCATATCCAGATAAAATACGTTCCTCTGGTAGCAACAGAGAGAGAATATCTCTTTTGGATATACAGACCTGCCATGAGAAATGCTTATCTGGGTTACAGGATGAGCTATGGTTGATACTGAATTTGTACTTTCACAGTGTGTTTTCACTTCATGGTAGCTACAGTACTATGCAGGAGGACAGATACTACAGATAGGACTGAGATACTTATGTATCTCAGTTTAAGTACCCTTTTCACCCCCTTCATCCTCCCCCCTTCCTCCTCTTCGTCTGTCTAAACCTTTCTTTTTCAGTATCTTTCTTTCTCAGGTCCTTATTGCATATTTTCTTAGTTTTAAACACATTTTGACTTTCTTCGCAGCGGGACGTAGGCAGTTTGCCCGCCATGAATGGGCCCAGAAGGCGGCCTACCTGCTGGGCTGTACCTTGGAGGAGCTGTCCTCCTCTATCTTTAAGCACCATGCCAAAGGACTGCAGCACTCCACCTCATTCAGAGGAGGGTCGGACGAGGCCAGCCAGGGTGACAGCTCAGGTAAAAACCCAAACTTGAATCTAACCACTTTACACCTTGCATTAAAATGTGTTTTGGGTGACCACATGAAAGTACAGGTTCATGAATTACATTTTCCAAATTGACTAGAGGGAACAGATAATTAAGAATGCATTGTAGACAGTGCTTCATAAGATTTATAAAGTTTGCCTTAACTCAGCAACTCAACAAACTTGATGGATTTCTTTAAGGGGCTGATTTGCCACCACCTTGAATTACTCTCACGCATTGTTTTGCTCTGGAGGACAGGGACCTGATCTCAATGAGGATAATGAGAATGCATTAAATATTGCTGGTATAAATGCAAAGGCAAGATCGGATCGCTTATTATCCGGATAACATGTCCACAGATATAGATCACATTTTAATACTAGGTGTAAATAGGATGATTTATGATTATTATTTATTAATGTGATAACAAATACTGTGTGCCCCCCCCCCCACACACACAGAAGCAATTCAGCAAGTACCCTTGCCCTGATAAGTCTAAAATTCTGATTTAAATGAAGGATGTCCATTGAAAAAAGTGCTTTGAAGAAAACACTATCCTCATGTTGTTTTTGAAATTAGTGAAAACTACCCTAAAACAATGGGGGTCTTGATTTGAAGTTGATTTGACAGTCTTCATCTTGTCTCTGATCTGCTGTCGCCAGGCTCTAAGGTCACAGCTCTGGAGTGTTTGGAGGCCATGGCATCCGGACTCTACTCTGAGGTCTTCACTCTTGTCATCTCCCTCATTAACAGGTTAGACATCCTGATATGTTACTTTATTATTGTGATTTTATTGGGAGTTGTTTTTCTGAAGCATTCACAGTGTAGTTTCTACAGGTCATGCCTACTTTCTTCCCACTATGTGTTTGTTTTTCTTTTCCTCACTTTCATTTTATATCCCTTACTTTCATTTCATATCCCTTACTTCAACCATCTTCTTTCTCTCTTACCTTGCTTTCTCCTCATTCTTTCTTGCTCAACTTTGTGTAGAGTTCTAATCCAACTTTCTACAGTGTACTTCAACTCCAACTGTCCCGTTTCCCTCTTTCAACTCCTTTAAGGGACGTTCAGATTCTGTGTCTGAAAACTTGTGGATAATACCAGTCACGCCACTTTCATCCTTTTATCCAAGGCATTTAGGAGGTTGCACTACTGTCGTGTCTGTCATTACTAAGCAACCAAAACTAGCGAGCTGATTGACGATGATGATGAAGTTTAGCAGTAAGTCAGCACAGGCACCGTAAATCCCTTGCTTGATTTGTGAGCAGAAAAAATATTAAAGCGTTTTTGGTTTGGCTGACCTTTAAACCAGATGTTGTTAAGTCCTTGTGCAGCAAGTTCTGTGAAGGTGTTAGTTAATTAACACATGGCATGTGGTGCACGTTCAAAAAAGTTGAGAAAAACAGGCGTGGCGCAACAAATGCTTCTGGTAATACAACTCCTGTCAGAGCTTTAGCAAATGGACTCATTCCAGTGCTCACACTTCACATGACACTTCAGCTACTTTCAGTGCTTACTTCAGATGACAGTCGGCTGCCACCTCTCATTTGGTTAGCAAGTAACTGTAAAATTTTCCTCCTCAATCCACAATTTTTTTTTTTTTATGTGAATGGAAAAAAATCAAAAAACTAACTGAAGTAAACCAAACTTAAAACCAAACTAAAAGAGTGAATCAACTGTAACACTAAATGAAAGTGAACATACTGAAACCAAATCTGCAACGATAATGCAGGCAACAGTTCACAATCAATCCCAAATAAAATCGTAGTCCTCTTCTATTAGTGGAACAGGTTGAGCTGTTGTGAGGTACATGATTCCAGTGGCTGTTCCAGTGACAAC